TGCACCATCCTGCAGGGTCTGTCTCTTCTCCAGACCCCTTCCTTCCTTCTTACTCACTTGCATGGTCCAAGTTAGTCTTTGAGATTCGAAATATTTTTCCAGGAAGTGGTATGGATTTAGGACACTCAAGTGATTGCTTTGTTGTTTTTAAAATGCAGACAAAAATGAGTTAATGGAAGCACTCTAAAAGGTCTAAAAATATCTGGACTGATTTTTCATACTTCTTTTCCTTTCACTCTGAACATTGATAGGCCTTGTTTTCAGCCAAAACTCCTGTTTTGCTATCAAAAAGTCAGGCTCCTGTTTGCTATCCCATATTATACCGTGTCACATAAATGCAGGCAGTTTAAGGTGTTAGTTCCTCAGGTGTCCCTGCCCGGTACTCTCAGGAAGAGCAGATGCAGATGCTCTCCACCTTTTTGCCAGCAGTGTCACAGAGATAAGGACAGCATACGTACTGCATGGCAGAGACACCGCTTCTCTTTATTGTACTGTCACCCGGGAGAAAAGTAATGGCAAAGGATAGGTCCTTAAACATGTGCCACCTGCGCTGCAGTGAATACATCTCAAGGGTTGTTGAGACCATGAGAAGGATTGGCATTGCCAGGGAAGGGCAAGAGATGGAAGAGGTTAAAAATGAAGAGGATCTGCATCTGTATCTGCATCATTGCAAGAAGGGAAATCACTGGTTAGTGCAACTGAACATCTATTCTTGTGTTGTCTCTATCTGTACAAGAGAGCACAATCACTGAAATAAATGTAGACGTTGACCGGTATTTTCAAGGTGAAAAAGAGGAAAAAGGTATAGTGTAACAGTGTTAGCTGTACGAAAAACAACACAAAACAAATTATCAATCCCCCATATTCCCTGCTGTTACTTGAACGTGACTATCTGCATTAATTTTTTTTAGTCATTAAAGTATTTGTCTTGCTCATATTTCTGTGTTTGTTTGCTTTAAGAAGAAAAGACAAAGCCCATTTTGCATTTTAAGAAGCAGCATAACAAATTATAAAGAGATTGTTGTGTCCTTGCCAAACAGAGGGTGGGCACAGAAAGGTTGATTCAGCAGAAAAACATACTGACAAGTGATTTATATAGGATTTTGGAAACCGTGTTTACTTTACCGACAAAAGTCAACTTTAAAGTGTTGCTCCAAAACCAGTGTAGAAAAAAATGAAAGAAAATACATAGACAACTTTATAACTACTATCAAGATTCTCTGTTAGGGAAGAGCGACCTCAGGAGTACAAAGGCACCATAAGTTCATGCACTTAATCTCAGGTCTTTGAGTGCGCAATTCAAACACAGAAGCTGCAAAAATAAACTGTAAATAATTTTGAAATAGTAACATCTATATAAGAAATACTCAAAACTAAAAAATATCTGAAAGCTAATGTCAATCATATGTTGATAAAGATGGGATATTTGTTTATTTTATTTGCTTTAGAGACTAGTGAACATCCATAACTTGAAAACCCCTAATGGGTACTAGATGCTTTCTTCTGAAGGATTGATTTTCAGTCTAGGGTGAGTCAGCAGTGATTAACAATTGATATTTTGTGGTGGGACAATGACAGGAAGCGTATTTTCAGAATATTAATACTGATGAAAATACGGAATTATTGCAAAGATGGAAATTGCCAAACTACCTAAGTCTTAACTTACTATCTCATAATCCATCCCTAAGAATCAAGTAGACTTCTAGGAACATAACACTTGTTTGCAAGACCCATATGGTGTTTTAGAACACCCACAGTTATGAACTCAACTTAGAAAGGAAAAAGCAGTTGTTGGTAAGGAAACTCTTATAATGATATACAATCTGTTTTAATATGGGTAGAGAGAAGAAAGGGCAGCAGAAACATACATTATAGAAACACAACTGCTAGATGGACACTTTCAGGGGCAGTCTTCGATCCCTTTTGTCTTTCCCCTAGATAATGTATCCATGCCAACATTACAGTAGCATCCAGATGAGTGGCGTCGAGATCACCGTAGTTCACAGTCAGTGCGTGCTCACTCTGGAACCATCTAAAGGGATGAAAGTTTAACAGCAACACAGGGAAAATCACAGAAGGAGAAAATGCTGTTTCAGCATGAGCCACTAAAATGCCTAAGCAACGAGAGGGGGAAATTGGGAAAATAAAATGAGCTTCTTGAATGTGACAGTAAAATTCCT